CAGACAGACAGACAGACAGACAGACAGACAGACAGACAGACAGACAGACAGACAGGCTAAAACGATAGGAAACAATACACCTGTTCTTCAATACCATCTAAATTGCGATGGTCTCTGCAGACAGAAGGGACTGTGGGGTAGCAAGGGTCAATGCTCTGTGCTCAAACATCTGCAGTAGATGACCAATAAAAAGAAATGCACTCGGTATAAAGAAAGCAGTCAGACATTATCCATATTATTATTATTAAATTTCGACCTTTCAGTTGCATTAAGAATGAAATGGATGTAAAGTAGGAAAAATTAGGAATATGGATTGAAACGAAGGGAACAAAGATAATAAACAAAAAGAAATAGTGATTCCTATCAAGATTTTGGGGAACAGGACATGGCTAATATGACCGTAAATTGCTAGAAACATACTTAAAAATTAACCCTATCAGAATAATATTGTAGCCCAGGGGTACTGCAAGAGAAGATTAAGAAATCCTTCTCTAAGAATGATAACATTGGTCATTGTTATAATGCTCGACGTTGTCTTTTATTTCTTTTTTAACCTTTCTGCAATTTTACCTTCCAGGGCTCTACTAACGTCAACATTACGGGTGGTTGGAGGACGCTGCTGATAGATCCTACTTCTTTACTTTCCCTCTGCTATGTCTGTCCATCTGTCTTATTTTTTCTCAGCTCTAATACATGACTATTACTATGTCGATGTGCATCTCTTGACTTAAACAAAGAAACGATAACTTTGACATTTATTTTCTGTCCCCAGTTTGTGTTCCCTTTTATCACAGGTGTGGCCATAGCCTACAGGAAACAACTGGCAAATGTAAGTAGCTGTAAGCTTGATTTTTTTCTTTTTTTTTTTTCTTTTGTTCTTTTCGGAAAACTGAATTTTGGATTTATGAAGGCCATTGGCCTTTATGGGAAATTATAGGGTGGAATTGAATTATTAAAATTTTAAATGTTATTTAAGAAAGTTGTTTTAGAATGAAAATATATATTTACACCGAATTTTAAATATTTTAACATTTTAAGATCCAACCACTGACCCGAGCCCAGCCGTACAGTGAACTGTTGCGAATAAAACTAAATTTTGTTTCGCGCGCTCATATATGCATTTGCGAGCGCCGTAAAACCCCATACTCAAAAAAAAAAAAAAAAAAAAGGAAGGTGACACTGATCTAGTTATAATGTTCTGCAAAGTAATCCACAAATTATGCCTTTGGGCGTTTCAAAACCGAATGGAAAAGTGTAGTTTACCTGTATATTATGTGCTGTTCTTTTGTAAAAATCATATTACCTCTTCATGTTCTTTATGATTTTAAGAAGGGCCTTCTTGTACTTTAATGGATGATAGAGAGTGTCCAAAACACACACACACACACACACACACACACACACACACACACACACACACACACACACACACACACACACACACCCAGCACGTGCGCGCTCACACATACAAACACACACATTAACAAATAAACACTTACGCAAAAATAAACACACACACAATCACACACAGGCAAACACGCAAACACGCAAACACATGCACACACACACACGGACTCACACACGGACTCACACACGGACTCACACACGAACGCACACTTACTCACTCACACACACACACACACACACACACACACACACACACACTCACACACTCACACACTCACACAAACACACCGCACGCGCACGCGCGCGCGCGCACACACACACACACACACACACACACACACACACACACACACAAACATACACAAACACCTGGGCTCCTGACTCTTTCTGCAGCCTTTCTAATGCTACTCCCTGGCTACTTCTTACTGTTGTCTTTCAGCCACACCCTTGATATTCTGGTTAGAAAGATCTACATCTAGCCTTCTCGGAAAAGGGCGAAAAATCTCGGAGGGCCCGAGTGCAAGTCGCGCACGTTAGAGATCCCTTGGTCTTCTAAAATCGATAAGAGTAGGATTCGTCCGCCACCCGGGCAAAATGCAAAATTGTTCTACCGACTGAAAAATGTTCAATGTATCCCGCGCGCTCATATGACCTTATGCAGTGGCGAGCATAGTAAAACACTTACAAAACCCTCCCTCCGCCCTCTTCTTTCAGGTTGGTCTTCACTTGGCCTTACTGTTTGCTACATCCTTGACTGGTGGGGCGGGCTATGGTTACTCCATACAGCCCGTCTACTTCGAAAGACACAACTGCACGTGAGTACTATTCATCATCATCATCCAGTGCCAGATCTGTGACAGACATCAGTGATCATGGTTCTCCTTTCATTCCTTTGATCGGATGCTCTAAAAAAAGCTACGATTCCCTGATCTTTCCCTGTTACCCATTTATTTAGGTTCCCCGAGTAGATTGTTCTGGGCCTACCCCTGTCTCGTTTACCTTCAATTTTGTTAGTGAAAGCTAGATGTTCAAGACCCATATGTCTATTCAGGAGTCCCAAAAACTGCATTTGTCGTTTCCTGATTGTTTTTAACTTTGCGCGTCCCACGTGGGCTTCATCAAGCACTACCTTATTTGATTTCTTTTCCTTCCACGATACTCTTAGCAGTCTCCTAAAAAACCACATTTCTGTTGCTTCAATTTTATTTTCATTGTCTTTAGTGATTGTCCAGCATTCACAGCCATATAGAAGGGTGGACCATACATAGCATTTCAGAACTTTCATTTTGGTGGTCATTGAGATGTTTCTGTTTTTCAGTATTGGGCTCATTTTATTGAAAGTAGCCTTAGCCGTGTAGTAATTCTCCGTTTTATTTCTGCGGTACATTTGGCATCAGATGTTATCATATATCCTAGATATTTAAACTGCTGGACTTGTTTGATCTTTTCTTTGAGTGTTATTAGAATGTATAATTTATTTTATCACACACGTTCCTTCTCTTTGGGTGGTTGGCGGGTACTCTGGTAGGTGTGGTTTACTTCTTCTTTCCTATCGACCTTATCTCCCCTTCTTCTTTTTTTATGTTTGTTACTCTCTTGCAACACCTCTAATCTTCGACACTTATATGACCTAACTATGTTGCGTGTGCTATAAAACTCTTACAAAAAACAAAACAATATAAAAGCCAAACAAATTCTCGCTAACAAATGTTAAAACATAAAGCTTTACTTTTGGGCATTCGTGGTGTAACGATAATAAAGATCTTATCTTAACTTTTGCACACTGTATCAACACTGTGACATTAATCTAGAAAGGGGACCTCCGAATTTAGTATCTATCTCCGACAGGACCATGTCAAAAGAGTGGAGGTGGGTGGTTGGCGGGTGCTCTGGTGTGGTTTGCTCCTTCTTTTCTATAAAAAATCTATAGTCTTTATCTCCCCTCATTTTTTGTGTTTGTTACTCTCTTGTAGCACCTCTGAACTTTGGCACTTATATGATTTTAATATGTTGCAAGTGCCGTAAAACTCTTACTAAAACAAAAACAAAAATGAGTGGAGAACCTTGTAAAATCCTCAAACGACCCAAGGTCACTAACGCTCTGCCAGGGATTGAACCATGGGTGTTGGTGGGTGCTCTGGTGTGGTTAGCTCCTTATTTCCTATCAAACATATATCGTCCTTCTCTCCCCTCCTCCTTTTTTGTGATTACATGTATTACTCTCTTGTAACACCTCTAATCTTCAGCATTTATTTGACCTTATTGTGTTGAAAGTGCCGTAAAACTCTTACTAAAGCTTAAAATGGGATTGAACTAGGATCATCCGCTCCGTAATCTGCATGAAACCAACTGAGCTTATAGATTGCCTGGGAGTAAAAGAGAAGCAAACGTTAAGCTATTTGCTGTTGCACACAGCATTATATATAATATTATGAGTTCGACAGCTGAGAAGGGAATATAATTTTAAAAAGATCAAGAACTACATCTCCTTCTGTCAGTTTGGATACTGTTAGGTTGACCCTGGCAGGCCGGCTTGCGGGTGGTTGGAGGGAACCACTGGAAGGTCCTACTTCTTTACTTTCCCACCGTTGTTCCTGTCTGCCTGTCTGGGTTGCTTTTTCACAGCACTAAATGGCAACTATTGTGTCAATGAAACATTCTTTACTCAAACAAACAAACCTGACAGGCCGGGTAAAAGCATCTCGCCCTCTACTCCCGTGTGTCCACCAAACCAGAAACCCCTCGTCCAAAAGTCGTTGTCCGTCTCTCAGGAAGCCGGTACTTGTAATTGAGCACCGGATTTTACCTAAGCCATCAGTGAGAATACTTAAATGACCAAAATTGAGTCGATAGTGCCGTAAAACACCTACTCAACCAATCAGTGAGAATTCAGTTTGGTCGTGTCAACCAAAACGATACGATTCCTCCCGACAAAAGACGGCTCGGTTGGAAAATTCAGTAAAAAGAAATTTCTAATTTTAAGGTATCATGAAAAATATAATGTCATATTTGTGATCTGCACTTGAAAATGACCAAAGTCTACATACGTAAACCACTCGTTTAAAATATTAATAATTTTGCCTTTTCAATCTTTTTCTTTTTTTGTGTCTTTTTTGTTTGGTAGTTTGCTCAAATCATTCATAATTTGTTATTCCCGTCTTGCATTCTTTAACCTTTGACCTGTTCTCGCAGGACAGAAACGAACCAGCTGAATTGCCTTCTACCAGAAAAAAATCGAATCCTTTCTGATTTGTTGGACTTAATTTAAATTGTATAGATGGGGACGTAGAGCGTTTATACAGCGTGCCCATTTGGGGCTCGGCTAACCGATCGCCAACCGATCGCCCGGTTTGCGACCAGAAAAGAAACACACTAGATACATGTATCTAGTTTTTTAGACTGCGAGTTCGGCTATCTGTTTGTGCCACGATGGTCGATTCGCACCCTCAATCTGGCTAGCCCCGCCTTCCAAACCGAACCGAACTTAACTGATCGTGCCAATGGGCACCTCGTATTAGGACAGATTAATGACAATCTCCGTCTTAATAATAATAAGTAAGAAAAAAATAGCATTTGTATAGCGCACTCGAAAGCAAGCTCTATGCGCTTTACACTATATTATATTATTACCCCAGCAGACCATAGAACACTCAGAAACATTTTCAGCTTCCCAGGAAGCATACAGTGCAAGCAGCAAGTTAAGCGCTCAAAACTAACCAACTGACAAGATATTTCACTGTCTTCTGTGTTCCCAGACAAGTGAGCACTGACCGAGGTAGCTGCGACAAGGAGGCTCTGGTGTACATCTACGTCATCGCCGGCGGGATTGCCTGTGGGTTCGCAGCCCTGGGCATTCTGGTCACCTGCTGCACCTGCTCCAGTGCTTCGGTATGTCCGGCTTGGGTGGCCGTGGGACGGGGGAGAGGAAAGGATGGGGGAAAGGGGGGGGGGGGGGGAGGAGAGGTTGATTGATGTTGTTGTTGTTGCTATTGTTGATGGTAGTGGTAGTAGTGGTGATGGTTATGGCATTGCTGTTTACTGTTGTTGATGTTGTTGGTGGAGGTTTGGTTGTTGTTGTTGTTGTTGTTCGTGGTGGTGGTTGCTTTGTTGTTGTTGTTGTTGTTGTTATTGTTGCTTTTGTTGTTATTGTTTGTTGTTGCTTTTGTTGTTGTTGTTGTTTTTGTTGTTGTTGTTGTTCGTGGTCGTTTTGGTGGTAGTATTGTGTTGTTGTTGTTGTTGTTGTTATTGTTGTTGTTGCTGTTATTGTTATTGCTGTTGTTGTTGCTGTTATTGTTATTGTTTTGGTTGTTGTCGTAGTTGCTGTTGTTGCTATTGTTGTTGTTGTTGTTGCTGCTGCTGCTGTTGTTGTTGTGGTTTTGGTTGTGGCAATGATGGTGGGTTTTGTTATTGTGCTTGATGTATCGAGGAGGGAGCCATTGGTTGGTCGGTTCGTTTTTATATAATATATATTATGTGTGTATTGAGGAGAACGA